AGGAATAACAAGTGTAATATCCACTAAAGCAAAACTTAAGTATATAACACCAACAAGCTCATGTACCAGCAGGGAGTCGGTCTCTATATATACGTGCTCCGAAGTAGGGGCCCTCCGTGTGGGCCCCTCTTGGACTTTCTGCCGAGATTTAAGCTCAGCACCGTTCTTCCGCAAGGTCTCTAGCTCTGTCACCTCCTGCCTGGCGGAGTGGCTCTTCTCAACCCGTTGGCGTAAGTCGGTCTATCTCTTCAGTTGTTGAAATAGTGGCCGAACGCAAGTTGTGGGTCTGCGGTGATGCCCGAAATGGCTTTCGGCCGTCATCTCCTAGGAATTTGGTCACTGGTTGGGCCGTAATTCTTCCTCCTTCCATTGGGAGTGGGTTGTCACGTGGCTGAGAAGTAGCATGCGATGAAGTTGTGTTATTCCCCTGGCCTTGGGTAGGTTGTGCTTCCTGTTTAGTCAGGGTTACATGTGCCATTGAATGGTCAGGCATAGTCTTTGAGGCTCCCGACATGGTTAGAGCCATGAGGGCTGAGAATCTCTTCACGAACTCAAGGTTCTGAAGCATGGCAGCAAAATCCAATGTTGTCGGTATAGCGTTAGGCTTGTCGGCACTTTGGGCCACTCTGTGACTAGTCCCGGCCTTGGATGTCTGCTCTTGTTGTCCTGATTGAGACATTTTTTTGCTGGAAATAAGATGAAAGATGATGATCAAAAGTGCCAAAAAATGGATGATTTGTTGGATCGAAGATTAACTCCAAATATCTTATGGGGCCCTCTTTCTAGTGTCAAACTGTTGTTATGTGAAATTAACAATGATAATCACTGAGATTAAGTGAAAAGAAAGTTGTAAATTAGCAGGATTCTTATTATTTTCAAGTCAGGTTTTTAGTACAAGTGGTTGGTTTTTATGTAAGACCGAGCTATCTTATGAGAGTATTTAATGTGTCGGAAAAGATCCTAGTACATGAGTAAATGCCGCTAATTATAGTAGTTCCAGGCTCGTCATTTGAGATCAGTTTAGTGGCATTAAATGTGATTTAATAGCCTCAGGGGATCTAGCCCACAGATGGCCCCACAAGTGATGATGAGGGTATGGGCGACTGACAAACAAGTGTCCCATCTGTCTTTTATCTCTTCATGACCTCGGTTCTTCATGGATGTCGGTCTTCGTTCCATGGCGTTGGTTGGTTCTTTTTCAGGTTCGTACCGAGTTCCACTAGGTCAGTCTTTCTTCCGTTTTTTAAATATTCAGTCTGATTTTATGATCGCCCCTACCCCCTTCTCCCCACATGGTGATTTCTGATTAGACTGACTAAATCGATTGTCAACAATTCTTACAAATTCAAACAATGTTGGTGGAGTATCTGTTCTTTGGACAGAAAAATAATTTCTGAACAAAGAGTTCAACTAACCACCTATATTTTGTGGTGGTTGTAGAAATCAAGGAACTTATGGAAGTTCCATAGTATTAGGATGCCTGAGAGAGTTGTGGTTGGGGCTGCCCTTAGATACTGACATGAATTTGTAGGTTGGTCTGTTGGGTTGAATTAGTAATCTCCAAGCTGGCTAGTAACTATGCCTCGGGGAGTTCAGTGGTCACTTGCGGCTTATGGTTTATGGTTCTTGATCTAGTGGTTCATGTGCTTTTTTTCTTCATTATTTCCTAGTTCTGACTTTGAAGGTCTTAGAGTTGTGCTATTTGTCTTCATTGTTCTTCTTTGGTGGTAGCTTCATTTTTTTGGTTGTTCTTGGTTTTAGTTTTTGTGGTGTGTTATATGGGTTGTTGCCTTCTTGGATATTGATCAATGTTTGTATTCTGCGCAAGTTAGCCTTGCGTTTGTAAGATTATAGTTTATTTATGAGATTTTCTACCGTTTTGAAATAAAAGGCATATACTCGATAAGTAAATTAGGTATACTAAAAGACTTCAATCGATTTTTTTTTTTCACACAAAAAAACCTCTTCCTCCTCCCTTTTCAAAAATAGAGTACTCGGATCTAGAGCTAGGCGCCTTCCCCGGCGGAGCTTTCCGATCATCCGGTGGTGACGCCCCTTGGCCTCGCGTCC